ACCTATTGTAAATGGTGCTGCAATAAACATAAGGTTGAAGGTGTTCTTTTGAATTGATGTTTTTGTGTCCTTTGGGTAGATCCCTAGGAGTGGAATTGCTGGATCATATGGAAGCTCTATTTTTAGTAGTCTGAGGAACCTCCACACAGCTTTAAAAATATAGGCAAAATACTACATGACATACATCTCATACTACATACTACATGACAACTTTAAAGACACATCACTTAAAGCAAAGAAAGTAAAAGAAAAGATAAAGAGCTGAGACTACAAAATTAAAGAGCTTCTATATAGCAAAAGAAACTTTAACCAAAATAAGGAGACACCCCACTGATTGGGAGAAAATTTTTTCACACAATACTAATGACAAGGGACTGATCACAAAGATCTACAAAGAGCTAATGAGACTCAACAAAAAAAGTAAACAACCTAGTCAAAAAATGGGCAGAGGGACTATAAAGACAGTTTTCCAAAGAAGAAATGCAAATGGCCAACAGGCATATGAAAAAATGTTCAACATCATGTAAGGTACATCCTTACATCAGTGAGAATGGCACACCAACAAATGTTGGTGAGGATGTGGAGAAAAATGCACTCTCCTACACTGCTTATGGGAACACAAACTGGTCCAATGATTTAATTCCTTTCTTTTGGAATGCAGCCCTGCTTAGATAGAGACCAGTCATTGGGCCAGGTGGGAATGCTTGTGTGATGGTGCCCTTTTACCACATACATTTGTTTTTATTGCTTTTTTCCCTTGTAGGGGGCAGAAAGGGGCACAGGGCAGGATTTCTAATCTAGCAGACCGGGTAAGGAGAAGAGAGTCCTGGAGTCCTTAGCAGCTTTTCAGGCTTTTATTGGGATTTACTAGGTACATGACGATCAGGGGTGCTGGGGGGTCAGGAGGCTGACAGGTCTCCAAGCCCCCAGCAAGTCTTCACCTTGCCTGGGTTTTCCGGCTTTCTCTGGTGGTCTCTGCTGCTCTGCTCTCGCATGGTTCTGCTTCTGCTGGTGTCCTTGTGATGCCGCCCTTAAAGCCCAGTCTCAGCCCAGGTGAGGGCAGAAAAGCCTGATACTTTTTACCTTACCCTATACCCCTTCATCACCATTATGAGTTTCTAACCCCCCAAAGGTTAATACAGTTCTGTTTCAACTCTGGAGTCAGAGCAGTTTACTTTTACGAAACCCAGCTCCCCTAGTTTGACAACTATAGGTCTCCCCTTGAAGAAATGTGAAGATTTTCTATTATTCCAAATCCCTTTACAATCCTCCAGTATCTACCCCACTGAGATCTTCTCCTACATTGTCCTATGACCTCCCTCTCCAAACTAGGCAAATTATAGACACTGGGGAGAGGCAGGTGGGACATAGCCCCAAATCTTAGGAACTTTAGTATTTATTAAAGAACTTATTTATTTATTTATTTATTTATTTTGGTGGGATCCTCGCCGGTGGCCGGGGATTGAACTGGTGCTGCAGAGGCTGCAGGCAGACTCACAACCCAGGGCTCAACTGCTGCACCACCAGGGGAGGCCTTATTAAAGAACTTATTAAGGAAATAAATGTTAGGGTAGCATATTTCTTAGCAGTGGGACACTGTCTTAGAAAAATTTACATTTTTTCCCCTACAAAGTTTTTTGTTTTGTTTTGCATTGTTTTCAAATACAGAGTTACTTAAATTATAGTCCTGTTGTTTTCTAAGAGGTAAATTTCTCTCAAGTGCATTTTTGCTCTTCACGTGGCAAGGAAGGAGGAAGTTTGTGGGTGGTACGACAAGCCTATTTTCACATGTTGTCCACATCCTCATGAGCAGGTAAACAATTATTTAATCCTGTTGTGTTTGTACCTAATTGAGCTTATTTCTGTCAATGATGAAATTGTGTTAAGTCCCCAGGTAAATGAACAGTGAGGCTGGTTTTCCCTGAAAGCATTTCTATTATGTCGAGAAAAAAATTAATCTCTGCAGGTGTCCAAATAGTAAACCAATACAGTCCAACAGGTGTATCCACTGAAAAGGGACCAACAGGTATTACAGCTGGGATCTGTGACTGGCTCTTTCTTCAGGGACAACACGGATGTGTAATCTTAGCCAGAGTCCATGTTTGTCCCCATGATCATTGCTGACATTTGTAATCCAGAACATATTCATAAAATGCATAACCCTAAAGCTAAGTAAGTTCTAGCGAACAATTATTTGGCTGCAGAAGAGTTTCTGAGCTTTCTTGTTATTGACATACCTGTCCCCTATATATGATTTTCCAAAAGCAACCAGCATTCTCTCTGGCTAGTGTAAATTAGATCTCTGATTCTACGCAAAGAATATAGGCTCTTTAAAAGGTTCCTCTTGATTAAGAATAAAACCCAAATTCATGTCTAGTCCCAAAGCCTGCTTGACTTGATTCTCATCCCTCTTTTGATCTTGCCTCTACCATTTGTCCCTCATGGTTATACTCAGAGTATTTAGCTTCCTATTGGTTCAGAAGCAGGTCAAGTCCTGGGTCGAAGGACCTGAAGTTCCCACTGCCTGGCATTCTTTTGCCATGGCTCTTCACCAGCCTGGCTCCTTCAAGTCAAAAGTCTACTATCTTAGACAGTATTTTCATAACTCTTGACCATTACCCTCCCATTAAGAGCATAAAACCTGCTGCAATCTAGTTTATTATTCTTTCATTATCTGTCTCCCTACATAGATTCGAAGCTCCACTCCACAATATCAACATTAAAGCCGTGCCTTGCACAAGGAAGGTGCTCAGTATCTGTGGCATAATGAAGTGGACATACGGATGGATGGATGAACAGATAATGACCATTTATCTACTTAGAGAATTCAGACCAAAAATCCTAAAAATATCTAGTTATTAATTACCCGAATAAGTGCCTATACTCTGTATTGCACTCTGCAGTACCCACAGATCGTATAATTTTCAATTGTAGTCCAGATGTAAACAGCAGTCCTGTCTTCCTTGGTCATTTTTCTTTTAGGATTCTGCTATCCTTCCCATTGACTAATCCATTTAGAAGTTCCAAGGCATTTTGTGTGTGTAGCAGAAACAAAACAATTATTAAATATTTTACTTGTTATTCATAATTAAACACATATCATTCAGACAACCATGATGTATGTTCTGGTTGTGGTCCTCAAGAGTTGGTGAATACAATAGTGTTACTGAATATTCAGAACATAAGATTTCCAGAAATTGTCCTTCCTTGTAAATAGAAATATGCTGTTTTCCATCATTTGCATCTCTCCCTGCCCTCCACCCCCGAGTAAGCAGATCTTATAATAGAGATCAAACGTAGGGTGTTTTAGGATTTAAAGTTTCATAACTTAGAAATGTAAAGCAAGTATCTTCATTTGTTTATTATTTTTTAAGCAAATAACATTAGATGGACGTAGTTTAACAACATTTATAAAATGTAGAAATAGGCATATAAATTTCTTGGTAATGTTATAAGATGATCAGTTTAACATGTTAAGATGTTAAACAATTGTAGGGGCAGGATGGCACAGTGCAAGATCTCTATGATCCAAACAGACGGGTAAAGGAGGGTTCTGGAGCCCTTGGTGGCTTTTTCAGGCTTTACTGAGTTTACGTGGTAGACAGCAGGCAGGGATGCTGGAGTGGCGTCGGGCGGGGCGGGCAGAAATCTGGCAGGCCTCACAGCCCCCACCAAACCTTCACTCTTTCTGGGTTCTCTGGCGTTCTCTCGTGGTCTCTGCATCTCTGCTGGTTCTGCTCTTGTTCTGTTGCTCTCCTCTTCTCCTCTTCTTCTCTTCTTTCTCTTGTTCTGCTGGCGTTCTCGTGACACCACCTTATAAGCCCTGTCTCTGCCCAGGTGTGCCCACCTATGCATGCCCACACACTACTCTAGGTGTCCACCATCAGGTGATCATGCAGGTTCACAGGGATCCACCTTCAACGCTAATGGAGGGAGGGTGGAAAAGCCTGATGGTTTTTCACTTACCCTACAACAATTTATAAGTTTTCTGATCTAATCTTATAATCTAATTCATAAGCTAATCTTATTTTTAGAATCTAATGTCATTGCTTTGAAGTCTGGAGAAACTAATAGAGCTAAAACTCTGATTCTGTGTATTTAAAGTTAGCATGCTGGCATTGAACTGCACTAGTTGTCTGGTGACTAGTAAATCATTGTACAAGTCTAATAAATGTTAGTATAAGTAATAGTTGTATTACTTATTATTATACTAATTGTATTACACTAATTGTTTTATTATACTAATTGTACTAATTGTATTATCATACTAATTGTATACTAATTGTATAAATATTAGTATAAGTAATAGATGTATTACTTATTATACTAATTGTATTATACTAATTGTATATGAGTTGTATAAGTCTAATAAATATTAGACTTTAATACATGTTAGCTGTTTATTGTTTGACTTAATTTATTTGGGAGTCCATGCTAATTACCAAAGTGGGCACAAATGTAAATTCATAAATATAATAAAAATGCAGAAAAGAATTGCAAATAAAAAACATACAACAAAAAGATTTCCATTGCATTTTTAACCCTTGACTATAATTCAGTCAGAACATTATGAACCTCATATATCAGCAATGGCAAACAGTTGGCATCTTTTAGCTAACTCATCAATTTTAAGTGACTCTCTGAAAACTGTTAAGAAGAATTCTGAGAACCCAACTGGGTTCACTGGGAAAGACTTCCCTGACCAATTATTGATGTACACACAGCGACAGGAGGGAACATGAGGCACGTGTCATGTGATCGCTACTGCTTGTGACTCCAAACTTGCAATTCCAAAATGGTCTGCCAGGGTAAGGGAATAGGCATCTGCAGGGCAGAGCAGGTTGGAACTGAGAGCCAGGCTAGCTGTCAAGATTATGAGTAGAAATTTCATTGGCTACTTCCTTTCCCTCCTCTCTCGATTGTTAAGCATGTGGGTGTAGCCAGTCCCTGACCTGCCTCAAGCAGGTCCTATATCAAGGGAACAAAGGGATATGATTCTTAAGAGCTCAACAGCCGGGCCTTCAGAGCTCATAACTCCTCCAGGGGGAAGAGTCTAAAAAAGCACAGTCTCCCAGTGTCAGCAAAGATCAAGGTCTTGGAAAACCACTTGCCTGGGGAATCTTGTGAGTATTGCCTGCAAGCTCTCATGCGGAGGCAGCAGATTAGTTTCCTGAAAGGAGAGCAGAGAGCAAGGTGGGGAAGAAGGGGAGTCCTTCACTTCCTCTAGCTGATCAGAGGAAAACATCTTTTTCAAAGGCAAGAAGGAGGAAAAAAAAATACTTTTCTGGTTTTAGTCCCAAATTTCCCATGGGTTCTGTTGATTAGTTTCAGAGTGGCCTTCCTGGATGAAGGGGAACTTCTTACCTCAGAGTTTACTTAGACCCCCTTCTTTGCAGCCAAAAAATTGTTGCCAGTTTTTGCTTTGCTGCCGGTGGAAGATGTGCCAGTCCACACCCATGAAGGAATATTCCCCAAAGTGTTTGTCAGATGGCTGAGATTGTCCTAAAACAGGGCCCAGGTCTCCCAGGAGAGTCCAGCTTTGGTTCTCTGCTGAGGGTGTGTAAAGGCAGGACTGGGCACAGTGCAGGTTTTCTGATCCCATGCAGATCGGGTAAAGGAGGAGTCAGAGTCCTCAGTAGTTTTGCAGGTTTTTATTGGGGTTCTCCAGGCATATGGCAGGCAGGGGTGCTGGCTTATCTGACTTATCTGTAGTTCGTTCTGCTGCTTCTCGGCTTCTCTTTCGGCTTCTGCTTCGGCTTCTACTGCTGCTGCTGCTACTGGCCGCCCCCGTGACGCCGCCCTTAAAAAGCCCAGTCTTAGCCCAGGTGAATCCCATCTACCTATGCCCACACCCTACTCCAGGTGCCCGCCATCAGGCATGCATTCAGGACAAGGATCCATCATCTATCCTGATGGCAGAAGGGCAGAAAAGCCTGACATTTTCTTTACCCTACAGGGTGTTATTACTGAGCCATATTCCCCCACCTAGTCCTAGAAGTTTTGAAAAGAACTGAAGGGGAAATTAACAGCAGATTCAGGGGTCCAGGGTAGTGGACTGCAGAAGGGGGGTTGAAGGGTCAGAACTACAAAGGTATTCTTTGTCTTTCTTTTGCCTACAGTAAGGGTTTCCTCTTCCTCAATTATTATCCTTAGAAAGGGCTTGGGCCAGACAACTACTCACACTCAGTTCTGACATCTGGGTCCACAGATGGTCTAGCATATTCTGCATTAACAGAATGGGAGGGCAATGGGCAGCAGGTGGGTCCGAAGCTCCCTGGACTTTGGCCAAGGTAAAGGAGAGACAGGAGGGTGAGATGATTCAGCTCAATGATTAACCAGCATCAGAGGCTGCCTGAAACTTAACCCCTAAGCCCAATGTCAGATGGACCTCTCACTAAACCTGCTCAGATGCTATAGATACTGAGACATGAACATGGGTCATGAGCCCAGCATGATCAAGTCAGTGAACTGTCCTGTGACCTTACAGAACTCTCTAGATTCCACTGGAATAAAGAGCTTTAGAACTGAACCTCATCCTCAGCTGGGCACTGGTGTTGCTTGGCCAGGGGCCCCTGCAGTAGTGTTGGCTCCTACCCTGCCTTGAGTCCAAGCAAACCACACAAGGATGCAATTAAATACATAGGAAGCAAGATATGTCCCTGGTGCAGTGGGCTACATTTCATATTCTGCCCGGACTTGCAGTGGGGGGTACGTGAGCAGGGGGCATTCACTTGCTAGTTTTGGTCATGCCCTGCCTTACACACACCTCCACCTGCTTAGCTGTGGTAAAGGCGGGACCCCAGGAGCCTGAAACTCCCATGAGAGCCCAGGGTGAAAGTCCCACCCTCACCAGGCACAGGAGAGGCGGCCATGTGCAATTCTGTTTTTCCCCACAAGGAAATCTATAGGTCAGGGCTGGGTCTGCAAGCAACAGTAGCACTTATGTGTGTAATTTGGGACAAGGTTAGGCAGGAAGCAATATCATTCTCTTCCTTCCTGAGCAGTTAGGTGGGAATTGGGGTAATTTTTCTTTCCACACCTAGAAACTTTAGCTTTGTCCACACTGGTAAGAAGGAGGGGAGTCACCTGGTCTGCTTTTGGTCATTCTGGTACCAGAATTTAGATTCCTCTAGTTAGGTGGGAGGCCCTTAGGCACTGGGACTCTCATCTGCAGAGGATGTTTGTACTCAGTGTTTAATGAACTCCATTAAAGAGGCTTGTTGAGGTCCCTCTGTTGGGCAAAGGGATTAAGCACAGCACTATGAAGCTATCTGCAGCTTCTGCAGCAGGAGTATGATCCTGCCAGGGACCTGACCCACATGGTGCAGCAGACCTCTCCTGTGTCTCCCACAGCTCCCTTCTGCTCCCCTCAGCAGTGTATTTCAGTCAATCCTCCTGTTCTGCTCTCCACTCTATCTCTGGTGAATCCTCTAGCCCCCTGCACCTCTGGCCTCTACCCCAGTTCTTGTATGTATAAAAATATAAATTTTTTAAAAAATAATGAGGCTTATTGAAAACAGATGAATCTGCTCTTAACTTCCAGTCACTCACTATAAGGATGGGGGTTGCTATTTTGTCTACAAAATGGTTTGACCTTGTCCCACCTGAATGGGTCTGCCCCTGTCCTCAGACATCACTTTTTTTTTTATCCTGGGAACTCTTCATGTGCTCAGGGCAGACATCTCTAGGTATAGTTCTTGTCTTTCTTATAGAAGTGTTTTTTTATAATTGTTTTGTGTGGTGTGTGTGTGTGCGTGTGTGTGTGTGTATGCAGTCATTAACTACACTCCACAATACCTTATCTGTACCTTCTGTTTCCATGTCTTTTCATGGATAGATAGCTCATTTCTTTTTTAGTGCTGAAGAATGTTCTAGTGTATTTTATTTTTTTACTCTTTCAAGACAAAAAAAGTACACCAAAAATTTCTCTTTTTCTTCAGGCTACTTTAGTGTAGCTCTCCAGTTGCCTCTCCTCCATCTTCAATGTGCTTCCTCACTTTTGATTTTTGGTCATTATTTCCTGGAAAAGTTAAACATGTTAGCATGGACTGATTGTCACATTAGAATCAGAGAACAGTGACCTAAAATGGTGGTTGTCACATTTGTTTTGTTAAATCCCAGAGCTCTTTCTTCAAAACAATATGTATATTGAAGCCCAAAATGGAAGACAGGTGAACGTGAACTTGCCTAGGTGACAAGCTGGAGGGAGGGGCGCAGAACTCACCACTCGGGGCCACATGTACCCAAACCTCCCCAGAAATCACAGAGGCATCCCTGGGGTGCTCCAGCACCTATAGCTGATTGAAAATGATAGACCTTTAAGAATGTAACACTTGAGCAGTAATCTTGGGTCAGGAGAAGAAGGGAGGAGGAACAGACTAGTAGGACAGGCCTGCATGTGGTGAGCAATACATGCACAAGGATCCCCAAGGTAGGGGAGGATAGGTGCTGGCAAGTCCCAAAGTCAAGCTCTGTGAAGAACATAATTGCGTGTACTGGATGATCACTTTATTTTTTTTATTTTTATTTTATTTTTATATTCCCCATACAATTGCAATCCCCTTATTTTGACCCCAATCCCTCCCCTCCCCCACCCCCCATAGAGTGTCTCTGGTTCATAGTTTTTTGTTGATTTTGATTTTCACTTTCTTATAGTTATTCATTTTCCTGGTCCCTTATTTAAGTTTTCTAGATTCCTGCTATGAGTGAGACCATCTGGTATTTTTCTTTTTCTTTCTGGATGATCACTTTAAACGTTAGGATTGAGGAAAGAGTAAAGCAAAAACTTCCTGTAAATGTCACACATTTATCTGACTTTTAGGTAAGGAAAACATTAAATCAGGATGCTATTATTAATTCAGAGGAAACTTAGAGGTATTTTCTGACCATCCCTGTAGGGGCAGGAATAGACACAGGGCAGGTTTTCTAGGATCCCATGCAGAACTGGTAAAGGAGGAGTCAGAGTCCTCAGTGGTTTTGCAGGTTTTTATTGGGATTTACCCAGCATATGGCAGGAAGGGATACTGGGGGCCTGGGAAGCTGGCAGTCCTCCCAGCCCCCAGCAAGTCTTTACTCTGGGCTTTCCGATCTTCTCTCACATTCTCTCTGCTCTTCTCATGGCTCTGCTTCTCTCTTGGCTTCTCTTTCTCTCAGCTTCTGCTGGCGTCCCTGTGACGCTGCCCTTAAAAACCCAGTCTTAGACCAGGTGAATCCCATCTACAGAAGCCCACACCCTATTCCAGGTGCCCACCATCAGGCATGCATTCAGGACCACAGGGTTCCATCATCTATCCTAATGGTGGGAGGGCAGAAAAGCCTGACACTTTTTCCTTACCCTACAATCCCCAACCTCTATTCTGCAGATGAGGAAAGCAAAGCTCAGAATTAAGGCTAGAACCAGAGTTTTGCACCCCAGAAGAAGCTGCAGAGTGTTGGTGAATATGGGTAAATGTTTTCCACTGACAAAGGCTTTTCAACCTAGTAAATAAAATTATTCAAAATATTTTAAGTTGCATTTAATCTGCTATGCTTCATTTTCTTTTTCAAGCACTTCAGTTGCTTAACAATAACAAAACAAAAAATTTCTAATTATTTCAATAAATCACAAATCTACTAATTAAGCTTATGAACATAGTGAGTCTACATTCTCTTAAATATTTATGAACTAAGTAAAATTGTCTATATTTTCAAACTAAAATCCCAAATCTAAATATTATTCAGTAACATATTAACTTCTCTACTTGCAAGACTCATCTGTTAGACATGCTAACATTGCAAGGATGCTGTAGTGCCAGGAAGGCAGAGAGCTGGTTCTCTGTGATCCCAGCAGGTAGGGTAAAGGAGAGTTGTGGAGCCCTCAGTGGCTTTCTCAGGCTTTTATTGAGTTTTTAAAACCAGGTACATGGCGAGCAGGGGTGTGGGGAGGGGGGAGAAATGCAGGAGTCTGGCAGGCCTCTCAGCCCCCAGTGAACCTTCACTCTTTACTGGCCTCTCTGACCTTGTCTCTTGCTCTCTCCTGCCTCTGCTTCTCTTGGTGAATATATCAATACTACAGCCATGGCCCACGGAAGTAAACAACCAAACTTGTAACAATGTAACAAATGCAGGTGCCTGCCATCACAGAATGCAGTCTAATGGTGGGAAAGCAGAAAAGCCTGAAAATCATTTACACTACAGATGCTTTTATTTAACAAGTACTTACTAAAATGTGCAAACATTATTCTTAAACTTAGAAAGAATAATGCTATGGCTCAATTTACTTTATTATATTTCTATAATAAATTTAAGAATCAAGAAAAATGTCTACAATAAAGATGTCTACAATAAATTTAATTTCCACTAAAGAAAATATCACTGCATCCAGTTGGGGTTACTCCCCCAGGAGAGTTGAACTTACCTCCTTCGCCAGGGAGTGTTGCTATTCAGCCAGAGATCCAGGGCAGGATGGGGATTCTGGAGCTGTGGAGCCAGGAGACTGGTGTGATCTAGATGGCGACAGTGAAGACTTTTGATGGTATTGTGCTGATTGGGAACCCACCTCCAGGGAGTGAAGCCTCACCTGCTTCTGGAGCTTCTCTCAGCTCACTAGCTGTCCTGCTGAGTCAGCTTCATCAATGCGCTGCCCCAACCTGCTTCCACACCAGGTTGTATCCAGCTAACCTGAACACTGACTCTGATCTGGTCTTCTTTTGTCGCTCACACTTGATAGGGGTTAGTGAACTTCCTGCTTTGGTCCCCCTCATGGCCACCTCCTCTCGCTCACCTTAACCAGATCATTGCTGATGAGTGAGTCAAATCCATCATCTTCCACTTCTGTTTTTCTCTGCTGCATCTATCTTCTTTTGCTTTATCAAATTTATACTCTGAAACAAATCTATTTAAAATGCCATAGGCTCCCACAGTTTTGACTTCACTCACTTAAGATAAAACATATTTCTTGCACTTAAATTGACATAAAACACATTTCTCCTGATTTTCTCAGAGTATAGTATATATTTTTAAAGAAATGACTATTGTAAGGTATGAAATGACATAGTACACATTTCTTTGAAGCACCTTTGGCAGGTCCAAATAGAAAGATGTCCTTGGAGAAAATGAAGGATCTCCACCTGGAGGGAAAAGACATACAACCAGAAACCCAAGAGGTGGACGGAGTCCTCATGACCAAGCTGATAAGTGATAACTGGGACAATATCTGGAATTTCCAAGCAAAACCTGATGATCTCCTCATAGCAACCTATGCAAAGGCAGGTAGGTTTGAGACTTGGTAGTGGGAAAGCCAGCTTTGAGGGGCTATAATACCTGATTTTATTTTTAAATTTTTTAAATAATATTTTTAAATTTCTAAAATTTTTTTTGCATCATTGTTCATTTTTAAACAATATTTTCTTCCCCCCACCCCCTCAGGTTGAGTTCCCATAGAATTTCCTTCCCCAATGCACCTGTGCACTATCACCTCAGTCCCCTGTGCTCCTCCCTCCCTCCCTCTGATCTCTCTCCCTCCTCCCCTGCAGTATGTCTCTGATTGATAATTGTCTGTTTTTGCTTTGTGGTGTTTTGTACTGTTGTTACTTTTTTACACTGATGTCTTATTTGGTTCCCCTATATTCCTGCTATAAGTGAAACCATCCAATATTTTTCTTTTTCCTTCTGGCTTATTTCACTGAGCATAATTCTTTCTAGCTCCATTCACGCTGCTGCAAATGGCATGAGTTTATCTTTTTTGGTTGCTTTTTTTGGTTTATCTCTCTAGTATTCCATTGTGTATATATACCACATCTTCTTGATCCAGTCATCTATTTTTGGGCATTTGAGTTGTTTCCAGGTATTGCCTATTGTAAATAGTGCTGCAGTAAACTTAGGGGTGCAGTTGTTCTTTTGAATCAATGTTTTTGTGTCCTTTGGGTAGATCCTTGGGAGTGGAATTTCCGGGTGATATGGTAGCTCCATTTTCAGTAGACTGAGGAACCTCTAGACAGCTCTCCATAGTGGTTGGACCAGTTTGCACTCCCACCAGCAGGGCAGGAGAGTTCCTTTTTCTCCACATCCTCACCAACTTTTGTTGTTGCTAGTTTTTTTTTTAAATATGTGCCATTCTTACTGGTGTAAAGTGGTATCTCAGTGTGGTTTTGATTTGCATTTCCCTGATGATAAGGGATATTGAACATTTTTTTATATGCCTGTTGGCAATTTGCTTTTCCTCTTTGGAGAAATGTCTTTTAAGTTCTTCTGCCCATTTCTTGACTGGATTGTTTACTTTGTTTTTGTTGAGTCCTGTGAGTTCTTTGTATATCTTTGTGATCAGTCCCTTATCAGTTTTATGGAGTGCAAAAATTTTCTCCCAATCAGTGGGGGTGTCTCTTTCTTTTGGTTAGTGTCTCTTTTTCTGTACAGAGACTCTTTAATTTGATGTGGTCCCCACTGTTTATCCTTTCCTTCACTGTCACTGCTTTGAGTGATGAGTCTTTAGGGATGTTACTGAGGTGTATGTCATGTAGTGTATTACCTATATTTTCTTATATATGTTTTATGGATTCACATCCTATACCCACTTCTTTTACCCATTTTTAGTTGATTTTTGTGTATGGTGAAAGGTAGTGGTCAAGTTTCATTTTTTGCATGTGGTGGTCCAGTTTTCCCAGCACCATTTATTGAATTCCCATTGCATATTCTTTGCTCCTTTGTCAAAGATTAGTTGTCCATATAAATGTGGCTTTATTTCTGGGCTCTCTATTTGGATCCATTGGTCTGTGTGTCTGTTTTTGTTCCAATACCAAACTGTTTTAATTATTATGGCTTTGTAGTTTTGCTTGAAGTTTGGAGGTGTGATACCTCCTTTCTCCATTGTTTTCATCAGTAGGGCTTTGGGTATTCATGGTTTTTTGTGGTTCCATATGAATTTCATCAGTATTTGTTCTATTTCTTTGAAGAATGTCATTGAGATTTTTATTGGAATAGCATTGAATCTGTACATTGCTTTTGGGAGGATGGCCATTTTAATAATGTTAATTCTTCCAATCCATGAGCAGGGGATGTCTTTCCATTTCTTTTGTCTTCTTCAGTTTCTTTTAACAGTGTTTTATAATTTTCTTTGTATAGGTCTTTCATCTCTTTTGTTAGGTTTATTCCCAAGTGTTTGATTTTTTTGTTTCAATAAAAAAAGGGATGGTTTTCTTGATTTCTTCTTCTTCAGATTGATTGTGTATAGGAAGGCTACTGATTTTTGTGTGTTGATTTTGTATCCTGCTACTTTACTAAGCTGGTTGATTAGTTTGATTAGTTTTTCTGTTGAGCTTTTAGGGTTCTCTATGTATATTATCATATCGTCTGCAAATAGTGATAGTTTTACTACTTCTTTCCCTATTTGGATTCCTTGTATGTCTTTCTTTTGTCATATTGCTCTGGCGAGGACCTCCAGTAGTATATTGAAGAGCAGTGGTGAGAGGACATCCTTGTCTTGCTCCTCATCTTAAATGAAAGGCCTTCAGCATTTCGCCATTGAGAATAATATTGGCCGTGGGTTTGTCATATATGGCTTTTATCATGTTAAGGTATGTTACTTCTATCCCCTAAATTCCAAGGGCCTTCATCATACATGGATGTTAGACTTTGTTGAATGCTTTCTCAGCATCAATTGATATGATCATATGGTTTTTATATTTCTTTTTGTTGATGTGTTGAATTACACTGATGGATTTTCATATGTTGAGCCATCTTTGTGCTCCTGGGATGAATCCCATTTGATCATGGTGTATTATCCCTTTGATGCATTGTTGGAGTCTGTTGGCAAGGATTTGTTGAGGATTTTTGCATCAGTGTTCATTAGGGAGATTGGCCTGTAGTTTTCTTTTTTTCTGCTGTCTCTCTTTGGTTTGGGTATTAATGTAATGTTGGCTTCGTAGAATGTATTTGGTAGTAGTCCTTCTTTTTCAATTTTTTGAAAGAGTTTGTGTAGGATAGGCACTAATTCACTGCTGAAAGTTTGGTGGATTCATTTGTGAAGCCATCTGGGCCTGGGCTTTTGTTTTGGTTACTGGCCAGTGCTTTGATTACTGTTTCAATTTTGCTGCTTGTAATCAGTCTGTTTAGGGGTTCTATTTGGTTGATTATGGCATCTAGGAATTTGTCCATCTTTCTAGATTGTTGAATTTGTTTGCATATAAGTGTTCATAGTAATCTCTCATTATCCTTTTGATTTCTACTGAGTCTGTTGTGATTTCTCCTCTTTCATTTATAATCCTGTTTATATGTGTTTTCTCCCATTTTTTCTTTGTGAGCCTGGCTAGAGGTTTGTCTATTTTGTTTATTTTTTTCAAAGAACCAACTTTTGGTTTCATTGATCTTTTGGATTGTTTTTTAAATTTGTATTTCATTTATTCTTGCTTTGATTTTTATTATTTCCTTTCTTCTACTCATTCGAGGGTTTTTGGTTGTTCTTTTTGTAGTTCTTTGAGATGTGCGATTAGGTAGTTTCTTTGAGTTCTTTCTTATTTTTTGATGTGAACCTGTATTGCTATGTATTATCCTCTTATTACTGCTTTTGCTGCATCCCATAAATTCTGGAAAGTGTTGTCCTCCTTGTCGTTAAACTCAATGTATATTTAATTTCTTCTTTGATCTCCTCATTCATCCAGTGGCTTTTCAGTAGTATGGATTTCAATCTCCATGATGTGGGAGGGTTCCTTTTTTCTTCTCATGATTTATTTCTATTTTGATGACTTTATGATCAGAGAAGATAGTTAGAATGATTTTGATCTTCATGTATCTGTTGATGTTTATCTGTGGCCTAGTATGTGATTGATTCTGGAGAATGATCCATGTGTGCTTGAGAAGTATGTGTGTTTGGATTATTTTGGGTGCAGTGTCCTATAGATGTCTGTTAAGTCCATGCATTTTATGTCTTTATTTAGGGCTCTAATGTCTTTATTTATTTTTTGTCTCGTTAATCTCTCCATTGGTGAGAGTTGAGTGTTGAAGTCTCCCACTATATATGTATTTTCTTTAATGTCTGTTTTCAGAGCTGATAATAATTGTCTAATATATTTTGATGCGCCTTCATTTGGTGAGTGTGTGTTGATGAGTGTTATATCTTCCTGATGTATTCTCTGATTGATCATGATGTAGTGTTTGTCTATGTCTTTTTTTACCTTTTTCAATTTGAAGTCTATTTCATCTGATATAAGTATGGCTGTTCCTTCCTTCTTGTATAGTCCATTTGCTTTTAGGATTGTTTTCCAAACTTTTCCTTCAGTCTATGTTTATCTTTTGTGGTTAAATGTTTTTCCTGGAGACAGCTGAAGGCTGGATTTTGTTTTTTAAATCAGCCTGCTATTCCATGTCTTTTTATTGATGAGTTTAAACCATTTACATTTAGAGTAATATTGATATGTTGGCACATGTATTTGCCATTTTGTCTTTTTTTGTGATTTTATTCCTTGCTTTATTCTGTTCTTCTTGATCATTCCTCTGTTGGTTTTGGCTTTAGGACTTCTTGTAGAATTTTTTGGAGTGGGGGTTTAATTGTAATTAATTTCTGGAGTTTCTGTTTGTCTGAGAAGGTCCATATTTTTTCTTCATAGAGGAAGGAGAGCTTTGCAGGGTAAAGTTTTCTTGGTTGGCATTTGCTGTCTTGAAGTTTGTTGAATATGTTACTCCATTCTCTTCTTACCATAGTGTTTCTTCAGAGAAGTTTGAGTTTAACCTGATTGATTTTCCCTTATAAGTTATCTGTTTCTTCCCCCTTGCCAGTTGCATTATTTTTTCCTGTCTTGGACTCTTGCAAGCTTTACTATTATGTGTCTTGCTCTAGTTTTCTTTTCATAGTGGTAATTGGATGTTCTTGCTTCTTGTATGTCTATATTCATCTCCTTTTTATACCTGGCAAGTTTTCTTCAGTTATCTCCTTGAATAATTTCTCCGATCCTTTGTCTCTCTCCTCACCTTCTGGAATGCCTATAAATTGTAGTTCCTCTCTTCATGGAGTCTGATAATTATCTGAGGGTATCCCCATTCTTCTTCCTTTGCACTTCTCTCTCTCTTGTCTCTTTTGGTTCTTTTTATTTCTGTTCTCTTCAAGAGTACTGATCCTTTCTTCCATTTCCTCAATTCTGTTTTTAATGCTTTTCCAAGAGCTCTTTGTCACCTCCTTTTCTTTTATTTCCTTTCTTAAGATCTCATTTGCATTCTTCAGTTCATTGATTATTTGTCTCATATCATTATACTTTTTAATCATGATGATTCTAAATTCTCTG